AGTGATAATCTACAACCAAAGGTAGAGTTAGAAATCCAATGATTTCAAAAGAAGAAAACATGGGGAAGTGGATACTCTTTACAGATAGAGCATCCATCTTTAGAGGAGTAGGCCTTGAGATCATACTAAAATCACCACAGGGTGACATCCTACCCCAGGCAGTTAGTTGTGAATTCAATGCAACTAACAATGAAGCAGAGTATGAAGCACTGATCATGGGGCTACAACTGGCCAAGGATCTTCATATTAAGTATCATCAGGTATATGTCGATTCGTTATTAATAACTAACAACTTTAATGGATTCTATGAAGTTAAAGGCGAAAGACTAACACTATACCTTCAAATTCTTTGAAACCAGCCTCCGAATTTGAAGCTTTTAGTCTGAATCAAGTTCCTAGAGAAGATAACACCGAGGCAGACACATTAGCCAACTTAGAGTCTTCCCTCAGGATCCCAATAACCCACATAATGATCCTGGCGATAGAAGATCCCTCCAAGAGACCAGACGACCCCGACGACCATGATCAGACGACCAACATATTAGAAATCGGAGGCACCATTCCTCGATCCTCTGACCAGGATACCGATGTTTTTGGATCCCTATCCAAACAGTCAGGATCCTCAGAGACATTTGCGATCCTAGACACAACCCATCATAGAGAATCTCCAGAATGGTACAATCCTAAAATAAGAAAAAAACGATAAAGCGTTCAAGATGAGGATCTCATGCTTTGTGATGAGCAATGGAGTATTATACAAGAAATCCGTAACATGTCCATATCTAAGATCAAGAAGTCATGGAAGTTCTAAAAGACAAACATGAAGGGGATTGTGGCAACCACACTTGTGTTCTAAAGTTTTAAGAAAAGGATACTATTGGCCAACCATGAAGAAAGATGCCTTCCTATATGCTCAGAAGTGTGATGCCTATCTTATTGATTCAGAAGCAGGAATAGAGACATATTGGCTAGCTACCCTAGAAGGAAGCATCTTGCCAAGATCCTAAAATGCTATACAACTTGAAGCGCACTTTATGTAAGTCAATTTAGTCAAAATTCATCACAACCGAGTCGAGGTACATACCTACTCCTTACCCTCATTTATTTTCTTTGTTTATTTTTATTCTAAGAACACTACTGACTTAAGCATCAGGGGGACGTTAGCCAAGCTGAAGCCTACCCCAAGCTAACGTTTGCAACATGCAGAAACTCAAGGATCCTAGCCACTACGAATAGAGACTGATCATCTCTCCTCCGATTAAGGGTACTTAATCCCCTCTAAGATTTAAAGAGTTAATAACCTCTTTCATCCGTGTTTGGGTTTCCACACCCTGCTTGGACGCACGATATCTTACTATGGGATGTAAGTAAGGGGATCATTTCATGCTTTAATGACTTGGCAACCCTCTTATTTCTGAACATATGTTAAGATCCTAAGGTTTAAAGAGTTAATGACCTCTTTCTCACGATTTTAGGTTTCTACACCTTGCTTGGATACACGATATCTAACTATGGGATGTGAATAAGGGGATTATTTCACGCTTTAGTGACTTGGTAACCCTCTTATTTCTGAACATATGTTAAGATCTTAAAGTAAATTTCTAAGGTTTATAACATTATCATGTTATCCTAAGTTGGGATCCTCCCCGGTAAATTTCTAAGGTTTATAACATTATCATGTTATCTTACGAAATGGGATTTTCCCTAGTTATTATCTAAAGTTGGGATTTTCCCCAATTATTATCTGAAGTTGGGATTTTTTCCTAATTATTATCTGAAGTTGGGATTTTCCGCAGTTATAATCTAAGTTGGGATCTTCCCCAATATGATCTGAGTTGGGATCTTCCCCAGTATAATCTAAGTTGGGATCTTCCCTAGTATTTCTTAAGTTAGGATTTTCCCCAGTAAAACTCTAAGTTAGGATCTTCCCCAGTGAATTACTATGTGGGATCTTTTCCAATATTACATGAGTTGGGACTTTTCCCAGTAAATTCTAAAGTTGGGATCAACTCCCAAAAACATATTCAGAGGAACTCTCTTCAAGATGATAAAACCTACCCAAAGAAATGTTCAGAGAGATCACCGAAAGATCAATTGGAGTTTAAGTTGACATCAGGTTCTATCTATCCTTAGACCTAAGTTTTTCATTTACATTTCTTTTTCTTTGAAAAAATTTTGCAACAACTTTCAAGATTTTTTTAAAATAAAATTTAAGGATCCCGGATATCACAGGATCCCAATCAGATGGTTATTTATTTCAGATTATTAAGATCCTAATAGTTTGTATAAACTCTAAAATTCTTCGGATCTTAATTATCCGGAAAGATTTTGAAAAATTCATTACCCTATTTCTACAACCAAAGCATAAAATTTAAAAGGGGCTGCCCTCCAACCCAACAAAAGAAAATATTGTTTTACATACCGAAAAATTAAAATTGTTTTAAAAATTAATGAAACCTAATTCAAGGTTTGATCACCCCCATCCGGGGTATCCTCTGTCTCCTTCTTCTCTTCTTCCCTTCTCTTTTTTTTCTCTGCAGGATCCTGAATGGCATTAACATGCCTACCAGTCAACTTAGCCAGAGCTTCATGCCAACCAGCCATATTCCAAGATCTTGCATTCGCCACATCCTTCGCTAACTTAATCTCCGTCTCCCAGATGGCTTCGACGACACTGCTCTTAGCCTCTGCAATCACCTCCTTGATCTCCGAGGCGTGCTCCAGGAGGATGTCTTCTCCTTCTTGGCCATGAGCTGACCGCTATACATGGCCTCGTTAAGTTTCGGGAGGGAGAAGCAAGCAATAGAATGTGTAGCCTTGGATCCTGAAAATTGCAAAGAACCCTCATCGGTTCGAGATCCCCAAAATGAAACAAGTAAAAAGAAGGATCCTTACCAGCAGACATCAAGTAGTGGTGGAAGAACCTTCTTGGAAGCTGGAATGGTTAAACTTGAAGGATCTTTCAGCCTCAGGCAAAGCGAGAAAGCTTTCAATCTTCTCCTCAGTATCTTCAGCAGCCGGAACAACTTCCTTGAACTTGGCGTCAAAACAAACAAAATAAGGAAGCATGAATTTTGGGATCCTTATCCTAATTAAATAAAATCCTACCATTTTTAACCCAGTTTATTGGCAGGAGATCATCGTTGGAGATAGAGTTGTGTTTCACAAAGAAAAACCTTTCTTTCCAGGCCCATCTTTTTGTTTTGATTTCAAAATTAAATGCAATTTGTTGGTTTTGACTTTTAGCAGGAAATAAGAAGATCTAAAAGTTTGAAGATCATAAACATTGGCCAATTCAGCTAACCCCATGCCAATGTTTTTAGACTGATTCATCCGATCGATCCAAAAAAGGATCCTCCAGATCACAGGCATAGTTTAAAAATAAGAATTTTTTGTAACTTCAAAGAACTCAGAGATGATGCCAGAAAAAGGGTATTTCAAGCCCAAGGAGAAAGCATATTTAGGAAAACAAACCCAAGTAGGAAAGACGAATCCAGGTTTAGCCTTAGCATCAAAAGGATTGAAAATGACACCGGCAGGAAAAGCTCTGATCGATTTCAAGGACTCAGTGTCGTTATCAACAAAAATAGCAATCTCTTTGTAAGACAGGATCTTTTGATCTACGAAGTCCTCGTCGGGAAGAGTAAAGATGCTCGAGCGAGAACGGAGTGCCTTTTTGCCCATGATCATCAAACAAGAAAAATGAGAAGAAAGGAAAAGGAAATTTACCTTCAAGATAACCGATAATGCTTGAAAGAGAGCTAAAATAAGTAATAGAATATCGATAACCATTAACCCATACTTATGCGGATCGTAGAGGATAAAGAAGAGATTTGACAACATAATCATATCTTTTAAACGGATACAATTCTATCCAGTAGAGTTTGAATTTCAAATCCTTATTTCCAATTAATTAAATTATACACTTTAAATACTTGAAATTAATTCAAATATTTTACAGGTATAATTTGGGGGCAATTTTAAGGCCAAGATCCTTAATCCTATTCAGGATCCCGAATCTCAAAGATATCTAAGGATCCTTAAACCTATCCAGGATCTTGGATTTTAAAGGAGTATTAGGATCCCGAACATACATCAGCATCCTGAGCATCGCCATTATTATTTCCTAACAAGTTTAATGACTATATTTCTTGTTTATTTCTCACATGTGCAGAAATGGTCAACGTAAGACTCATTCACAACGAAGAATCACTTCAACCAGGCTTAAAACCCGGGAATACCAAGTCAAAGCACGTTGCAAATACCAATTCAATAGGATCCTTGAAATATTGGACTTTAAGTTACATGACCTAGACTATATATACACATGTAACATGCACACAATGAGACGATTCTCTGACACCTTACCCATTTAGACTCACTTTATCATTTGTAATCGTATTATTAAGTTTATCTCTATAATTCATTCTTCAATCAATAAAATCAAACAAGGCAGGTGATGATTATCACCTCCTAAGGTTTTATGCCGGAGATCCTAACAATGATCAATGACTTTCCTTATAAACAAACCACTCTTGTCATTTAAACTTCAATTCGAGTCTTGTATTAACTACAACACCACAACCTTTCATACAACTTGGTTGATCTTCATTTGATCGATTTTTGACCAAAACACTTCTTTTTTGTAAATTAATAAATTTTTACAAATCTTGGATTAGTCATTACGATTTTAAATTATCAATAGTTTTTTTCTCAACCGTGATTTTTATGAGTATTAACCTAATATAAGTATTATAAAGTATTATAAAATAAGTTTATAACCCTAATATTATAACCATTCCAAACTTTTGGATTTTTTTTTAAAATATCTCAAGAAATGTACTAAGTTTATATCGGAGGGACCAAAATGTTAATATCTAAAACCAACCGACACTAATTGTTACTTGATAATAATTAAGACACCACTTGTGTAAATTCATATGTGGATATCTTAGAATCCATAAATAGCGATTCAAATGGCCCAATTGACTTGCAGGCCAAATCCTACTTCAATTTAAACTATATCGTACCGACGACGATACTCTCTATAAACAAAACACCCACCGGAGAACGATGTTTTAGGCTTTTCGTTACAGTGACTGTTGACTTTTGACGGAGATTATAATGGCCGGCGGAGGAATGGTGAACGGCAAGGGCGGTGCTAGGGCGGAGTTGTACGAGCATAAGATCACCCCCTACTTCATTTTTGCTTGCATCGTTGCTGCTCTTGGCGGATCTTTGTTTGGATATGATCTTGGTGTCTCCGGTCAGTCTCTCTAGTCTCTACTACTCATTTTTTTACTTAATTTTCTGATCGGAAAAACACACAGTCGCCGGAAAATCGCCATTAACACGTATTCAAATTAGAAATTGTTAAAGGGTTATGATGGTCTGACTGGTTCTCGCATGGGTTTGGGGTTAGTTCAGTAAATTTGATTTTTAAAGGGTGATGGGTAGTTTAGTAATTTTGGTATTTACAGATATAGAATCTTGATCATCAAGCATGAAAAAAAAAGAGATTGTTTTGCATGGGTCGATATGGTCCATTAGATCGTAAAATTGTAAATTTATTTGACAATTTTGATAACAAAAATGGACTTTAAAAAATAGGCACTTAAAAGTTAAAACCAACCATTTAGCATATCAACTATTAATAATTAGTAATTTTATAATACGATAGTTTCTCATTTCAAACTGGATCCCTTTTATAAATCCTAAAGTAGGTGTAATGTAGTCAGTTTTATAATTTTTAAATAGTTGCCAATTTGGATTATTTTCAAATTGGTCAAACTAGCCAAGTGGCTTTGATAGTTTGATATTATCTGTTTACTTGGTTTGACCAAAAAACAGCTTATGGGTAGTTTAGTAAATAGGGAATTTTTAAAACAATGGTCTTGTAGTCGTAGAAAATATGATAAGAATTTGCACCTTTGGTTGTTGCTTGTGGTTAGTTTGGTAATTTCACATTTATAGACCAACTTGGTCTGACCAATCATCTAATTATTTTGCTGCCTACGTTTATTATTATTTTATATCTTAATTATATTTATGTCCGCACATATAAAAAACATTAATTTAAATATTAACTATAAAAAATATTATCATAATTAAATCTCATAAATATTAATTATGCATAATATTATCATAATTAAATCTGATAAATATTAATTATGCATAATATTACCATAATTAAATATAAAATATATTAATTATAAAAAATATTATATATAATTAATATTATCATAATATTTCTTATAATTAATACTTATTATATGTGTAGTACAGATATTAGAAAATCTCATATTTATAAACCACATATTTATTATTTCTTTTTTAAGTCAATGAACATAAAAAACAAAAATAAACAAATTTTATAGAATAATATATTAAGCAAGAGAATCAAAATCATACAAATATCCAATTTTAGTTAAACATTATAATAACATAACAGTTTTATTGTTTATTTTTTTATTTTATGACTAAGATTCATGTATTTAAAAATGCTTAATAATATTTGTCTAAAACGATGGATTACATGTGAGATTTTATATAAGTATATCTATTTTTGGGTCAATATGGTCCAGATTAAAAACATATGTTCACCTTATATTTTTCAATTTTTTTTCGAAATAAACCACTATTTTTTTTTTTCCAAAAAGAGCCATATCAGAAAAAAAAAAGTGTTTTATTCAGAAAAAAAAAAAGAAAAAAAAAAGTATATACAAGGTTTAAACTTTTATATTGCTAAGTATAAGTCAAAATTAACACTAAAATAGTCAAAATTAACTCCATTGATGATCTTCAGGTGGAGTAACATCCATGGACCATTTCTTAAAAGAATTCTTCCCAAAAGTTTACAGAAGAAAACAAGAACATCTCAAAGAAACCGATTACTGCAAATACGACAACCAAATCCTCACCCTTTTCACGTCGTCGCTTTATTTCGCCGCCCTATTCTCCACCTTCTTCGCCTCCCATGTCACCCGGAACAAAGGCCGGAGAGCCAGCATTCTCTGCGGTGCCGTCAGCTTCTTTGCCGGAGCCTCAATCAACGCCGGAGCTCAAAACATCGCCATGCTCATCATCGGCCGATGCCTTCTTGGTGTCGGAATCGGATTTGGTAACCAAGTAAGTGCATTTCTCCAATTTACACTTCCATTTTTAATGTCAGCAGTAGCCGGCAAGTCTCCAACCCTAATTTCTTGATTATGCAGGCTGTTCCTCTTTACTTGTCGGAAATGGCACCGGCGAAAATCAGAGGGGCGGTGAACCAGTTGTTTCAATTGACAACTTGTTTAGGCATATTCATAGCCAATTTTATCAACAATGCAACGGAGAAACACAAGTGGGGATGGCGATTATCATTAGGGTTGGCTACAGTTCCGGCGTTCTTGATGTTCGTCGGAGGGCTTTTCTTGCCGGAAACGCCGAACAGTTTAGTCGAACAAGGGAAATTAGAAGAAGGAAGAAGGGTTTTGGAAAGAGTTAGAGGTACCAAAAACATCGAAGCAGAATTTCAAGATCTGGTTGAAGCAAGTGAAGCTGCAAAAGCCATTAAACATCCTTTCAGGAACCTTCTGAAGAGAAAAAATCGACCACAATTGATCATCGGAGCTTTGGGTATACCTGCGTTTCAACAGCTTACAGGGATGAATTCTGTGTTGTTTTATGCGCCTGTGATTTTTCAGAGCTTAGGGTTTGGTTCTGGTGCGTCGTTATGGTCATCCACCATCACTAGTGGCACTCTTGTTGTTGCTACCTTCATTTCAATGGCGTTTGTTGATAGATTTGGCCGGAGAGCATTCTTCTTGGAAGCCGGCATTGAAATGATCATCGCTATGGTAAACCATCCCGCTCTAAATCCAAATAACACCAAAAGAAAAAAGTTCTTAAAAAAATTGGAAATTTGACCTTTTGTTTTAATTTTGATTTATATCTTATTAGATATTCACAAATAACACCAAAAGAAAATTTAAAAACAAATGAAAATTTTATTTTTAAGAGAAATTATTAATGGGATTGAGATTTTTTTTTTCATAAAAGAAAAGATGAAAATTGAAATTTTGACCTTTTTGTCTCAGTTTTGATATATGCTTATTAGATATTCACAAAAATGACTAATATTCCCCCAAAATGCCCGGTTGAGATATAGAATTTTATAAAATAGGTTGAAGGTTGAAATACTACACCCCCAAAATATTATTAGTAAATAGGTTGAAGATTGAAATATTACACCTCCAAAATATTATTAGTAAATAGGTTGAAGGTTGAAATACTACACCTCCAAAATATTATTAATAAATAGGTTAGGTTGAAGGTTGAAATATTCCACTTTCAAAATATTATTAGTACTATGTGCAATGCGACTTACCATTATTTTTATGATAACCAATATTTTGTTTTGATATTTAACAATTGAGCATATGTTTTTCTGATCACAAAATGACCATCAATTCCAAAATGGATAAAGTTGCTAATTGTGAAAGTGTTCGTCACAAAAATAAATAAATAAATAAATAAATTCTAAATTGTAAGAACAATTTCTTAATTTTGAAATAGATTTTTTTTCAAGTTTTTCTTTTCTAATTTTATGTTATCTTTTGTAGTGGGGAACAATTTACAAATTTATTAGTATCCAACTAACAATTGTGAAATTAATGATATTTTTGTGATTTGTGAAATAAATGACACGTCAAAAAGTGGTATATTTTGTGAACATGCCATCTTCTTATTTTTCAAAATAATAAAAGGGGATAGGACCATTTTTAGTTACAACCATTAAATGATTGTGTCCTACAACGGGTTTGTTTCTAATTGAAACATTAAACGGGTTGAAAGATTACAATCTTTGTCACATTATCATCAGTCTTAGTCTAATGTAAGTCAAACACAATGCAACATGTTCTGTTTGTTCTGAAGTGTACTTCTTGACTTTCAGGTATGTGTGGCCGTAACCCTAGCTATCAAATTCGGACAAGGAGTGGAACTATCAAAAGGAATTGGGATTTTTCTAGTGGTGATGATTTGTATATTTGTTTTGGCTTATGGGCGTTCATGGGGTCCATTGGGATGGCTAGTGCCTAGTGAATTATTCCCATTAGAAACAAGGTCGGCAGGTCAAAGCATCGTGGTTTGTGTCAACATGTTCTTCACAGCATTAGTTGCACAATGTTTTCTTGTGTCACTATGTCATCTCAGATATGGCATATTTTTGTTGTTTGCTGGATTGATTGTTGTTATGAGTTGCTTCATCTTCTTCTTGTTGCCTGAAACAAAACAAGTTCCCATTGAAGAGATACATTTGCTTTGGCAGAAACATTGGTTGTGGAAATCTTATTGTGAACCAGAAGAAGAAAAAACAGGAATGAAACCTGTGCAAGTTGTGTAGAATTTGTAATTAGTTTTACAGATGTTCGATTTGTTTTCCTTTTTGGTTATATGTATTAAATAATTGTAAAGATGCTTTGATCTATGTTTTGGAAGTGATGATCTGATTGTGTAAGTTTAAAGATATTATATTATAAGTTTTTAATGTTTGAATAACATGTCGTTGCTTTTGATTATGTGGTTATTTATGGTAAAATAATTATTTTAATACCTGTTATGATTGAAACATAAAAAATTATTATATAACTTGAAAATCTTTTATGGTCATTTCATAAGATGTTATCCAAAGATTCTTTTTACATAATATGAAACGTAAATTTCAACGATTGCTACTAGTTATTTGATTATAATTTTGAAACTAGTGTGATGGTTCACGTCGTTGCGACGAGTTAATCTTACATTTTGAAAATCATTTATGTAATTGTCTTTTACATAATTTTACATAATTTTAATTTCTGACATTTTTATGAAAAATCTAAGTTTCATCATATAAGGCGGAACTTTTAAATAGGGATTATTTCTGTAATATTATGGAACATAGGGACCAATTATGTAGTTTTCTTATTAGACAGAGACCATGTTTTTAATTTTTTAAAACATAAAGACCGTATTTGTAATTTTAGGAACTATTTCTGTACTTTTGTAAATACATGGACCTTTTCTGTAAGTTTACTATTAAACAGAGACCATTTTTATAATCTATAAAATATAAGGACCAACTTTGTAATTTCCGTATGAAAGCAGGGAGAGTTTATGTAAACTTGACACAGTCACACAGGTGTATAAAGTTACATAAACAATACTTGATGGACTCAAATTGTAACTCATACAGAAACTAGAAATTACCCTCCGTTGTACTCTTTTCCCCCAGAAACACACACTATTACACATTGCTGGGAACTTCAAATTAGAACTCAGAAAACCAGTTTTTATGATTTTCTGTATAAATCCTTAGTGGGTATTTCTTTAATTATTCTGGAAAAAACTGTTCTTTACTCGCACTCATCATCGATTCATCGGGTAACTTCAGCTACTTACTCATACCTCATAGGATTTTCTTTTTCGAATTTATGTTGTCAATCTATTTGGGTATTCTCTGAATATGCATTGTTTGATCGTGTTATTATGCTTGTTTAATGTCAATCAGAAATTAATCAATCGTTTCAGGAATAAATTTGAGTTCAATAGTCAGTTTTACACTTGGGGTAATTTTTTAAACATAAGCTGTGAATCTATAAGTCCGAATCCGAAATATGATTTGATGAGAATCCGAGAATCGGAACTTCCAATTTTTCAAGATTCGTATGTGATTTGTTGTAAATTCGCGTTGAAAAAACAGTATGAATATGTTGACTTTTGAATTTTGACCCATAAATATGAGATTGGGGTTCTTGACCAGGTTCATAGATTTTTATATTTTCTGCATTATCATTTGAAGTTGCAATCATCAGTTTATCCAATGGTAGAGTGAAATTACTTATATAACCTTATGTATCTGTCATTTCCGTTGATAGTCAGAATTTAACACTACCTTTTTTGTTCCAACATATTATCTGAATCTAATTATGCAATTTCACATTAATCCATTTCTAGTAATACCTCTTATTGTCAAATATTATTTATCACAGGTCAAACTATTAATCAGCAACATGGCATACATAACAAGCTCCACAGAAGTGTACTTGATGCAGTTAATTACGTAAACGCCCATGGAAACCGGACGCCCATTACAAAGATTATGTCAAATTCAAATCCAAAGACTTCTTATTTTGGTCATAAGCCTTGTGGTTGTTCTCATAGTTCTAGCTCAATTACTCGCGTTCCCATATAAGAACGACACATCCATTCTATCCCCCATCACCAAGGGTATTTTGGTCCACAAAGTGTCTATTTACAATAACGCCTCTATTACACACGAGGGAGTAGTTCAAAATGAGTCGATAATAGAAGAAGGGTGCAAAGGGTATGATCGTAATTCCGAATCCTTAGTCTCAAAAATTGTAGCCAAAGTAAATGATTCCGGTCAAAATGTTACCATTGCTTCACAACCAACACGACTTTCTTACATGATTTCGGTTCTTGAATCGGTTCGTTTCAATGTAGGGACTCACTCGTTATTATGTTTTTGTTTTCCAATTTTTTGTGTTTTTGACTTAAAATATATTTTTTTTCTTATGATAGAAAGCCAAGGTGCTATATAAGTCCTAACTTTCTCATTTATTTTTAAACATCATTTATCCAGACAACACTTAATGGGAAAAATAAGGAAGCAGGGTTTAAGTTGTCCTCTGTTTGTGAGCGACAACTTCAACATGCACGAATGCAGATTGAGAAGGGGCCCACATTAGCAAGCACTGGTGGACTTCATGCGTCTCTTTATCGCAATGTTTCACGGTTTTTAAGGTGAAAATTTATGCTTGTATATTGATAAAAAGAGTAAATTTAGTAATTTACATTGTTGTTTCCTACAATTTGCCTTTATTTTTATCTATTACTTATGCGATCAAAATTTGTCAAACACTCTACTATCAAAAGGGATTATTACAACTTCAATTAGCAAATAATCTTGTTTTCTTGATTACAGGAGTTACAAATTGATGGAAGACACTTTGAAAGTTTACATCTACAAGGAAGGAAAGAAACCAATATATCATGATCCAAAATTAAGAGGAATCTATGCTTCAGAAGGATGGTTTATGAAACTAATGGAGAAAAATAGACACTTTGTTGTGAAAGATCCCAAAAAAGCACACTTATTTTATCTACCATTTAGTTCACTAAAGCTAAGACTTACGTCTCAAGAGCATACTCCTCAAAGCCGTAAAAATTTAGAACTCCATTTAAAAAATTACACCACTTTAATCTCCCGAAAATACCCTTTCTGGAACAGAACTAATGGAGCCGACCACTTTCTTGTTGCTTGTCACGATTGGGTATGTTTTATTTTTGTATCTTTGCTATTGTTTCTTTTTTACTTAATGGACTTAATCTGATAAACTATGTCACTTAACATAGAAAAAACGACTTAATACAGAAAGTCAGAGAAGCGAGGCTTTCCCCATTAACCCTAAATTTATGTCATGTAGCGTGAATTTCCTAATTACTAAGATTGATGAATCTTTTTGTTTGATAAAAAATTTATAATGCTATAGGCGATGAAGCTAACAAAAGATGATATGGGAAACTGCATAAGATCACTTTGCAACTCGAATCTCGCCGGAGGGTTTAAGATTGGAAAAGACACGACACTTCCGGCGACTTACATCCGTACATCAGAAGATCCGGTGAAAGATCTTGGTGGAAAGCAGCCATCCGAAAGACCAATTCTTGCATTTTTCGCTGGAGGAATGCACGGAAACCTCCGGCCAATTTTGCTCCGGCAATGGCACGATAAAGAACCCGACATGAAAATCTTTGGGTCAATGGCTCGGGATGTTGAAAGTAAAGCTAAATACCGAATGTATATGAAGAGTAGCAAATACTGTATTTGTGCTCGTGGGTATGAAGTGTTTACACCACGGATTGTGGAATCGGTTTACTATGAGTGTGTTCCCGTGATTATATCGGATGATTATGTCCCGCCTTTTTTTGAGTTTTTGGATTGGGAGGGGTTTTCTGTGTTTGTTTTGGAGAAAGATGTGGGGAATTTGAGTGGAATTTTAAGGGCGATTTCGGATGAAAAGTATCGGGAGATGTGGGAGAGAGTGAAGATGGTGCAACGGCATTTTATTTGGCATAAGACGCCTGTGAAATTTGATTTGTTTCATATGATTCTTCACTCGATTTGGACTAATAGAGTTTACAGGACATGACAGATTGTATTATGTTTGACATATAATTGACTGAGACCTAGAACGATGTCAATTGTATTATGTTTGACATATAATTGACTGAGACCAAGAACGATGTTAGTAATTTTGTCTCAATCTCAGAAAGTTAAATTTTGATCGGTCATCATGTAAAAGATGTAAATGTTGCTCCAACCAAGCTTGTCTAGTACAATTCAATCCTGTCTTTTCTAGTGTTGTATGTAATGTTTGTATATTTTTTATTAGACAAAATGGTTGAAAACGTCATTGTATATAACTATGGTGTAGAATTACCACAAATAATTGCATTGAAATCAAGGTTTTTTGTTTGTTATCGACAATTGAATATTTTAATCATTTTTTATATGAATATGATTGGAAACGGACAAGACCATTTTTACTCAAAAAAAAAAATGAATGTTGAAATATTTGGACCGACAATTTAACCTGTTGAAAAATAACGACCAAAAATGGCTTAATTTGGGGAATTTCGAGGAGTTGAGGACCCAAAATTGATATTTTCTCTTGGAAATTGAGTCTCCATGGATCAAAGTGAACTATTTCTTCAATATCCCATTTCTAATCCAGTCGGATTTACAGTCGGATGAATGTAATGTGAGAATCTGTGTGTATGCTGATGGGTAGTTCGACCAATTCCAGTGAAGGTTTTTGATATAGGTATCTAATAAGGATCGATTTCAACTGTCTGAGGCTGTAATAAGTGATTTTTCTCACTTATTTCACTACTTCTTTGTATAATCTCTGGGCAAGACATTCAGGTATGAAGAAATACCGAATGCCATTTCACTTTGTTCATCAAATAGAGAAGAGACGATGGCTTTTAGTACTGGTTTTAGTAGCTGCAATCCATTTGTTTTGTCAAACCCTAATGCTTCCTTATGGAACTGCTCTTCTATCTCTCCTACCTGGTCACAACAACACTTCGTATTTCATATCACAGTTTAGTACTCTTAAGCACGAATTACAAGAAGACAACCTTGAATTCGAAGAAGACATAGAATTAGGCGAAGTTTTTATGGAGGAAAGTAGTGACGCCAGTGCTCAAAATCAGCTGGAAAATGATCGAGTTGTGCTTGGAGATCTTGGTGAATCAAGGCATGAACTATTGTCAGTAGACCTAAGTACATATCTTCCAGATACAGTTTCTGTAAATAGTAGTATTTCTAAAGAAGAAGTAAAAATGAAGATCATGGAGGTTAAATCTGTACCTGGATTAAAAGCTCAAATTCTTCCAATCAATGAGAAGTACGCTTTGTTCCAAAGTGATGATAGAAAGCAAATGAAGTGTTTGATGCCACCAAAATCAGTCATGTACAACGATCAAATGAACCGTTTGTTACTTCGTCATCGCACTTCCTCTCGAGCCATGGTATGAAGTCAAGTTTCTTGAATCTATCTTTTGCAAATTCATCTCAATTTCATGGTGTAATCGTCTTTTCAAACCAAATTGTTTTTGCAGAGGCCACGATGGTCTTCACCACGTGATCGGGAAATTCTTGCTTCAAAGATACAAATTACCAAAGCACCCTCCCAAACAGGGGATCAAGAACTTTATGCTCCTGTTTTTCGTAATGTATCCATGTTCAAGAGGTTAAAAATTAAAACCCTAATCTCAATTTGTGATTGAAAAGACTCGAGTCCCTTTGCCTTTGCATTATTTGATTTGTTACATTAACAGGAGCTATGAACTCATGGAACGTACACTTAAAGTATACGTATACAAAGATGGAGAAAACCAATCTTTCATCAACCGATTCTTAAAGGGTTATATGCCTCCGAGGGGTGGTTTATGAAACTTATGGAGGGTAATAAGCGATTTGTTGTCAAAGACCCTCGAAAAGCTCACTTGTTTTATATGCCATTTAGCGCACGAATGCTAGAACATACGTTATATGTCCGTAACTCCCATAATCGGACAAATTTACGACAATTTTTGAAGAATTATGCGGAAAAAATCGCTGCTAAATACCCTTTTTGGAATCGAACTGGTGGAGCCGATCATTTTCTTGTTGCTTGCCATGATTGGGTAAATCTCTTAAGCTATGTTTGTTAGCCTGACTGGATCATGACAAATTTTCTAAAGTTATTTTCAATGATGAGTATGAGAAGGGCATTCTCGTCTTTTATATATAGTCCTGCTCCACCTTTTTGGTAGAATGAAAATTTGCAGCTTTTGTCCCTTGACATAGTATAAATCTTGTTTATTACCTCATTCTAGAATTATTCAATGATGATCATGAGAAGGATATTATCGTCTTTTGCACAGACAAGAGATCACATCATAGTCTTTTCCCATCATGTTCCATCTTTTCTAGTAGACAAAACAATGCAATTAGATCACATCATAGTCATTTCCCATCATGTTCCATCTTTTCAAGTAGGACATTGCAACTTTTTATGGTTATTTTAAAAAATAAGGGCTTTTATGTCTTTTTCACTGACAAAAGATCTAGAGCATGGTCCTCTCGCATCTTGTTCCACCTATTTTGGTAAGACAAAAAGTGCAATTTTTGTCTCGTCGACATTAGTACCGATCTAGTTCATGTCAAACGCAGTACAAGACTGTCTTGTTTGATATGCATGACATTGTAGGCTCCATACGAAACAAGACACCACATGGAACACTGCATGAAAGCACTCTGCAACGCCGACGTGACCACCGGATTCAAAATCGGCCGTGACGTCTCCCTGCCCGAATGCTACGTCCGGTCTGCCCGAAACCCACTCCGGGATCTTGGCGGGAAGCCACCTTCGGATCGCCATATCCTCGCATTCTACGCGGGAAACATCCATGGGTATTTACGTAAAATCCTCCTCGAGTATTGGAACAACAAAGACCCCGATATGAAAATCTTGGGCCCCATGCCGCCCGGGGTAGCTAGCAAGATGACCTACATTGAATATATGAAAGGAAGCAAGTATTGCATCTGCCCGAAAGGGTACGAGGTGAACAGCCCACGGGTAGTTGAGGCGATATTTTACGAATGTGTCCCCGTGATTATTTCGGACAATTTTGTCCCCCCGTTTTTTGAGGTGTTAAATTGGGACGGGTTTTCGGTTATTATTGCTGAAAAGAATATTCCCGATTTGAAGAATATACTCATGGAGATTTCTGACGATAGGTATCGGGAATTACAGTTTGGAGTTAGGAAAGTTCAGAGGCATTTTTTATGGCATGTGAAGCCTGTTAAGTATGATTTATTTCATATGATATTGCATTCAATTTGGTACAATAGGGTTTTTCAAATTAAGCCTAGATAAGAGGTATTTTGGTATGTGAGGGTATGCTTTGTGGGGTTGTACTTTGTGTTTTGATTGGTGTATGTTAACACTCTTCATGTTGTGAATATTTTGTATGTTGTACGAGTGTAGGATTGTAATTTGAGAGAAAGAAAACCATAGGTAGTCTCCTTAACAGTTCTCAAAAGAAAGTCCTAAATTTCACATGCTTCTCAAACTAGCCACATGTTTTGTAGTGGTCGAACCTTGCAAAAGATGTGGCCACTGCGAAATATATTTTTTACATTACATGTTGTCGTTTTGACTTTTTGTATATTTTGCATTATTATTTGTGAAATGGGCCCCAATGCAAAAAGAGTCCTGCTCCGCCTCATTGTAAAATAGCCCCAACTGCAAAATTACGAGCCCAATGCAATATTGGCTGAAAGGTGTTTAGATAAAAAAAAATTCTCACATGTTATAAAATGAAGAACAAAGTAGGAAATGAAATTGTAAAGAACTTTATTTCATTATTTATGGTAAAAACAGCCAAACTTTACAATGCATACTACTCATTATTTATATTAGATAAAGAAGATGAAAGGTGATGTAAGTTATGAATGCTTGTTATAGTGGTGCATAACTACACTCGTAAAACTCATAATAATGTTTCTTATAATGCTTACTACTTATGGAGAGTGATGGAGGAATATAGGGAATCCAATAGTCATTCACTAAATAATAATTCATAACACTCTCCCTTGAATGACGATTATATTATGCCTCGTTAAAACCTTAACAGGTAAAACCTCATGGGAAAAAACCCTTTATTAAGAAAAAAGAGTACATGATTAATAATAGATATTTGGAACAGTTGTCTCGTTAAAAACTTTGCTAAGAAAACTCAGAGGGAAAAACATAGTTAAGGAAAAGAGTACAATATGTTTCCAAATCCTCATGATCATTACATCACTTGATTTCCTTAAAGCGCCGCATGTCAATGTTTCGTATCATCTTTTCAAATTTGGATATAGGAAGCGCTTTAGTGAACAAATCGGTCAAGTTGTTACTTGATTGGATTTTCTAGATGTTGATGCAAGTGGCATTTTTGAAGATCATGAGTGAAAAAAACAAAAGTTTTGTGATATATGTTTGGTTTTGTCTCCTTTGATAAACCCTTCCTTGAATTGGGCTATACAAGCCGCATTATCTTCATATAGTATGGTTGAAATGTCCCTGTTAGAAGTGATACCACAATTCTCATGAATGCGATGAATTATATTTCTTAACCAAATACATTCACGGCTTGGCTCATGAATTGCTATAATCTCTGCATGGTTAAAAGAAGCGGCAACTACAGTTTGTTTAACAGAACGCCAAGAAATTGCGGTACCACCACAAGTGAATAAATAACCTGTTCGGGATCGAGCTTTGTGTGGATCAGATAAATATCCAGTATCTGCATAACCAATTAACTCTGTATTTGATGATTTTGATTAGTATAAGCCCATATCTATTGTACCTCGAAGATACCAAATAATATGTTGGACAAGAACTATATCTTGCTAATAATTTTACACCAAAATATATATCATGTCTTGTATTAATAGTAAGATATATTAGTGCATCAATAACGCTAAGATATGGTACTTCGGGACCAAGAAGTTTTTCATATTTTTTACAAGGTCGAAATTGGTCCTTTTCGGCATCTAAGTGCCGTACCACCATCGGGTTACTCATGGATGTGAGTTATTCATACAAAAACTCCCTTTTGGCGTGCTCAATTTGAAGACCCAAACAAAATTTCGTCTTACCAAGATCTTTCATTTCAAATTTTTTCTCTCAAATAATAAGTGGCATTTTCCAATTTTTTAGGAGTTCCAACTATGTTCAAATCATCTACAATAACAACAATTATGACAAATTTTGATCCGGGTCTTTTTATGAATACACATAGGCTTATTGGATCATTTTTGTAGCTCTTTTTCAACAAAAATGTACTTAAACAATTGGTCCACATATTACCAGATTTGTAACATCCCAAAAATAAGACCCGGAAAATTTTCATTTTTAAATTAATATAACAGTAAACCATATCATTTTCATAAAACCAAGGTAATCAAATTTTATCAATACATCATCATTATCAGAGTAAATCACAAAATGCGGAATCGAGTGGTGTGTGCTCTGCAATCATCTCGGGCTCTTCCCTTTGGAACCAGAAACACCTGAAACATAAACTGAAAATCGTAAGCACAAAGCTTAGTGAGTTCCCCAGAATACCACATACCATACATAAATAAACACATACTGGGCCCCCGCACTACATCGGGCCTCGCCCGATATCAAGTCCCACTTGGCCTCGGGCCCTGCCCGACATCGAGCCCCGCTCAGATTATAGATCTGTCATTCATTAGGTTTCGCCTGACATTGGGCCCCGCCCGGTACACATAATAAACATATAAACATATAACCATGTTAACGCATGCAATAATCACAAACCAATAGTATACAATACAGTCATCGGGTCTCGCCTGGCATCGAGCCTCGCTCGGTATACATACCAGCACATGACACATGCAAGAGTCACACATACATCTAGCATCCTATCATAATAATCATGGGCCGGCATTGGTGCCTTCGACCCGCTAAATACAGTGAGGAAACTCACCTCACACTGCTGAATCTCACAGATAAATCTCTGGCTGTTGGCCCGCTAAAATCCCCGCGCTATCAATCACAAAATAACATCCAATTAATAATTAGATCCCGACTCACACTAAGAGTCCAAAATAGGGTAAAAGAACTTTTTACCCTTTACCCAACTTGGCCCACGGCCAAGGCCCAATCCAAATGTCCAAAAGCCCAAATTCCAAAATAATCACCTGAAGCCCAAATATGGCCCAATTTTCCAAATTGGGCCCAAATCCCTTTCATGGGCCTTTAACCAAAAGAGTCCAATCAAATATCAACATCCCAACAAAAAATTCTGATGGCCCAACAAGGTCCATGTCACACCCCCGAACCAGACGGCGGAAACGTCCGGGGGCTTGGGTGACTTCATTCTTGTAGTATCATCACAGAGTATATAATTGAAACTTAACATCATCATCATCACACATGTAAACAAAACATAACAAAATGGGTGTGGGCCGTGAATGTCCAAGGGATGATGAAAACAAAAACATAACAAAATGTCCAAGTATTCTTGCTGACCGACCTGCTCAACGATTTCCTGAGAATACAAGTTAATTTAAAAGGTCAACATATATAATGTTGGTGAGTTCATAAGCATGTTTGAGAAAATGTTTTGTATTACTTTGTAAACACCAAAAATTCCGATATTTTCTGAAAAACAGTTTGAAATGTTTGTGCCCGATCTTGTATTAATGCATGTGTGTTAATGTTCGTGATAGTATAAAGAGAATGACCCCAGACAAACCGATGTTGTCTGCTTATGAGAATGTTGGAATCTCAACAACCCGAGGTTGAGTACCAGCGCGTGTAGGTTACCGTTTTTTCCAATAAAAGATGGTTTCCCGTAAATTTTATAATGTTAATTCCTCAAAGTGAGCCGTTATAACCATACTTGATAATGACAATTTCGCCTGTCATGACGTCTACTAGATGCCGACTTGTTTAAGGTACGGTTTGTCACCCTAGACTCGCCTAGTCTAACTGTAGCGAACAGCTCACGTGTGGGGCGTCACCCGCGTATAGATCTATACACAAACTCACGCTCTCTCTCCGGGAGACTCTAGTTATAACTACAAGCTACGTTTGTACACTCATTTGGTGTCAAACGAAACGTCTCACTAGATCCTTAATCGAATTTACGCGAATAAACATATATGGTATATTCCAGGCCCAATAAACATGTAAGTGGACAAATAAGGCCCACTAATCATGTATATTATTTCTAGGCTCAACAGGAATGCGAATGTATATCTCGGGCCCCATATACATGTAAAAGGACAACTAAGGCCTATTAAACAGGTATATTATTTCCAGGCCCAATAAGGATGTGAATGCCGAAATTGATCCGTGGTTTGTTACGTTGGTTGTTTAAGCTTCGTGGTTTACCAAAATGACATAAAAATCCCACCTTTTTGTAAAAGGTCATTTTTGGTCCTAAAAAGCGAAAATTTACAATTATGGCACATTTTTGGTAAAAATGACATCTTAGGTCCTTTTAAGACCAAAGTTTGCATTTAAGGCTAGTTTTAAGTAAAAATAACATTTTTAACTCACTTTTGTCAAAAATATCATTTTTGGCTTAGTTTTATAAAAATGTGCATTTTCGGCCCATTTATAAATAAATTCATCTTTTTGACCCAAGTTTTAATAAATTCACATTTTCAGTTCTTCTTATCAAAAATTTACATTTTTGGCACAACTTTGTTGAAAATGACACTTAAGCCCACAAAAGTCCAAAAATTTACAATCTTGGCCCAAAACTCGTAAAAGCCCAAATGAAGCCCATTTATGAACATTTACACTTCTAGCCCTTTTAAGATCACAAATACCATAAAGATTCATATTTATCAAAATAAATCCTTTTTGGTCCCTTAAAACCGTGAGTCACATAAAAATACCTCATTTTTGGTTATTTTGTCATTTTTGGCCCTCTTATGCAATTTTCTTAGTTTTAAGCAACTTTGAAGTATTTTAAAACCTTTCTTTACAAAATAAGTTTGCAATTGATGTTATGTTCTATAATTATCATCATATTTTAACATGTCTTCAAGTTCATGGAGTTTATAACACATAATCACACATATATCATGAAAAACACACAAAATCATGCATACACACATAGATCTACACAAAACAACTTGTATTCTCCCCCAAAACATAGTAAAAACCAAAAATAGGGGGTATGAACTCACTTTGCTTTGGAGATTTCGGTTTTTGATGAAGGGTGGATGAGATCTCGGCCCTAGAAGCTTCTTATGTGGAGTTTTTTGAACTTAAGAAGATCTAAGATCATAATTCACGAAATGGAGTGTTAAGAGAAGTAAGTTTAACATAACATGAAGTTAAACCTTTTTGGTGAAAGTAGCTTACCAAAAGGATGAATCTTTGATGACAAATTGTTGAAAAATCTACACCTCCTCACGACTTTCTTGAAGTAAATGTGGGGGGATTCTTGAAGTTTTAGAGATGAGTAAA